ACAGTCAGAATCATGTGTAAAAATTCTGGAGTTTTATGATTTTCGATTTTTGTTGAGTAGGAGCTTGTATTGAAGCAAACTCGAATAGAGTAATTATACTCCGCTAATGTTTTGTTTGAAGTTCTGGATTTAGTTTTCAGTAAAGTTTATGTATTAAATGGATAACTTAAAACTCTTTTTTAGTACAAACTGACACCATTTCATTTCAGAAAAGGAAAAAAAGATGCATAGTATTGAGTTCCAACTCTAATTACGTGCTGAAGTTTCGATTAGTTTTGTGTTTTTGGTAAGAAGAAAAACGGTGTATTATCTCTTTTAGCCCGCGCCAGAAACTATTTATATCTAGTAGCCAATAAAGAGTATAAAATTTATATAATTTTTGTATATAACATACAGAATGTATATATATACAAAAAATTTATAAAATTTTATATATTTTTTCGACTATTATTTTTACAGCGGTTATAGTGTCATTTTTCCAGGAAAAAGAAACTCAAAATCATATGACGGCCTCCTTCGTAGACATGATTCCAGCAGCGTTAAAAACTACAAATATGTTTCCTAATTCCACATCGGACGTTTACACCAAATCAATAAATACATGATATGTGTGTTGCATATGGACTTTAATCATTTAACCATAGTAAATTATATGCATTCTCATCAAATTAAATTAATTAACCATAGTGAGTTAATATAGTTTGGTGTAAACACCCGGTGTGAGTAAGTATTTACCAAAATATATTAAATGACAATTATTTGACAAAGGAAGGTTATAAGTTTATTAAAATTAACTATAGAACGTATATTTTTTATTGGATTGAGGATTCAAATTTCTTTAACAATTTGAAGAGCAGGTATCACAATTAGCATTATATTCTTCGTACCATTAGTCTATATACGAAAGCAGAGTTGGGATTTGAAGTTTATGTATTTTAAATTTGCTGCTAAACTCATAGCTCGTTTCAATAATTGAATTTACAATAAAATATTTATATGTATTTAATGAATTTCCTAATATAAATATAGAATCTAATCAAAAGTTAGTACATTCAATCAAACCGTATATAAATCTCCAACTCTGGTCCCCGTCTACATACAACAGCCGTCCTTGTATCTGAACATAAGTTTGAAATTCTTTCGTAACCTGCAAGATTGATCAAGTCATATTTGATTGTTTGTTTAAAATTAAATTCCCCCACTACAATTATTTCTTATCCATGAATACGGGCGATCGGTCCCAGATCGCTTAAAATTTTGTGGGGACATAAAAAACGACCTAGTGAACAATCATTGTTTTTCCACGACTGTTCATTAATTTTTAGCATTTAAAAATTATTAATTGAAATAATTTTTTATTTCTTTATTAAATATTCCATCAGCACAAAAGGAAAATATAATTCCCTCAAAAAATTTTGGACCAGAATATCATTCCCTCCAAATTTAGAAAAGTTTAGGAAAACATATTTCTTTCAATACCGTCAAACTTATGCCAAGACGCCCTAAACGCTGATGCTTCCAACTTCTACCATAGAAGCCCTACGTTGCTGCTTTGAACTTCTGCCATAGATCTAAAATATTTGGGGCAAGCAGCTCTAACAAAAATAGCTGGACTGGTGGGAAAACCAGTGAAGGTTGATATAGCAACAACGAGGAAGGAGAAACTCATGTATGCAAGGGTAATGATGGAAGTACCTTTGAACAAAACATATCCAGTTATGTTTGAAAATGAATTGGGACAAATAACTGAACGAGAAATAGAATATGAATAGAAGCCTATAATGTGTCAACAATGCAAATTGTTTGGTCACACATATCAATAGCGTAGGTGAGTACCACAAACGCCACAAGTAGAACAAGTAAGGAAAGAATGGAAGCTAGTGGAAAGGAATGAGCAGAAAGAAAAGTCAGCCATAGCAGGGGAAAAAATGGAACAACAGGCAAATGTTGTACAAGGGCAAGCTTTACAGAAGCACATTATCATGCTAGTGAGTAATTCCTTCTCAACATTGGAGGATCATGGGGAGGAGCAGAATGCAGGGGAGAATGCTAGTGATCAAATATTAACAGGAAGGAGGAATAAAGCTAAAGGAATTACACAAGGAGAAGGTACTCAACAAGGAAAAGACAGCTCAACAACCTCCAGGAACAAAGGAAAATAGAGATGGGTCCAGGAACATGGAGGGGAGGTACAAACTCCCTCCCAAATGGATAAATTAGGATTTTGAAATGTTGGGGGGGGGTCTAAACAGGCACGATAAACAGAAAGATATGAATCTGTTCTTGCACAGTACTAAGGTAGGTCTATTTGTACTCCTGTATTAAGAGGCAGAAAGTATCTTTAGCTTTTCTTAATCTTTGTAATGGGTGGTCATTTAGTCACAACTTAGCTTATCATCCAGGTGAGAGAATCTGGGTGCTTAGGAAGCCAAATATATTCACTGTAAATATCATTGATGTATCAACTCAAATGATGCACTGTGAGGTAGAACACAGAGTGACTCGGCACAATTTTCAGATAACATTTGTTTATGGATTTAATGACCAAGCTTTAAGAAGACAATTATGGCAAGAACTGGAGCAAATTCATTGTGTCACTAATCAACCATGGGCAGTTATGGGTGATTTCAACGGTGTATTGAATAGAGATGAAAGGGCGGGGAGTCCAATCATAATTTCAGAAATAAAAGACTTCAAAGAGTGTGTAGGAAGATGTTCACTACAAGAGCTTAAATCATCTGGATCTTTTTTCACCTGGAATAACAAACATGGAGACACTAGTAGAGTCTATAGCAGAATTGATAGAGTGCTAGTTAGTGGAGATTGGGTGATGAAATTTCCAGGATTAGAAGTTCACTTTGGAAATGAAGGCCTTATAGACCACTGTTCAGCTTTAATTAATTGGGATAAAGGACCTCAAAATAGCCAGTACATATTCAGATATTTTAACATATGGAGTCAAGCTACTGATTTCTATCAACAAGTGTAAAGCAACTAGAAAAAGAGGATTGCAGGTACAAAGCAGTACATATTAGTTGGGAAACTGAATAGACTCAAAGCTACATTACAAGGAATAAAAAGAGCTCAGTTTGGTGATTAGAAGGAAAAATTGTGCAGGCAAAAACAGAACTGGAGGAGTGCCAAAGTAATGATCCTTTGAACATAAGGTTGATTGAAGAAGAGGCAAAATTAGCTAAACAATTCTCATACTTGAACCTGGCAAGGAACCAGTACCTTAAGCAAAAGTGTAAAATGCATTGCTTGAATTCAGGGGATATGAATACTAAATTTTTTCATAGTATGTTGAAATATAAAAGAAATGCTAACAGAATATTCACTATAAAAGACATTGAAGGAAGGACAAGTAATGATATACAGGGTATTACTGAAGCTTTTGTGAAATATTACTCTGCTTTGCTTGGTACTAAAACTGAGAATAGAAGAAGGGTATGTAGTGCCACTGTCAAACAAGGTCATGTAGTCTGTCACACCTCCTTTTTCACTACATCCGCAAGGGCGTAAGGGAGTTGTTCCAATTAAAGGACAATCGAAACGGGATTATTTATTTCAGAGTCGCCACTTGGGAAAGGTTTGGCTTTTGGTGTCCCAAGTCACCGATTTTTCTTGAATACCGAAGCGAGGAAAATTTCGACTCCCAATTGGAGTCTGCGAACCAGAGATTCTGAATAAGGAATTCTGTTGATCCGAGGGAAGGTGTTAGGCACCCTCGGATCCCGTAGTTCTAGCACGGTCGCTTAAATCATTGTATTTGGTTAAGATCTGATTTTAAAACATGCTACTTCTGCCTTTTGTTTATAAACCGCTTTTATCTTTATTTATTTTTTAAATACTTGCGACGTCGTGAAAACACATCTCGAACCACGGCAAAATCAATAAGCCCGTGATTGTCGACACGTTTCGACTTCATCGAGATTTGGATTTGGGTTACAACCAGTGTACACCTAGTTTAAGAAGGTAATTTGATTAAAACGCGTCTAAATATTCTATCGCAATATTATTTTGGGGAAGGCCGCGAAATTCGCTAAACGGCCCTCCCATGTTCTAAATAATTTTACGTAACTATTCACCGAGGGCCCCGCTTTGTTTTTGCATGGGCAAGGCTTATATCAACATTTTAAAAGGCTAACCTAAAGCAACTACGATTTTCTACTTTGCGAGGGCCGTGGAAAATTCAATCAATGACACACTCGGATTCTAAGGATTGAAACAAAAGGCAGAATACGTACGGACCCCCCTAAACTTGGCACGTTTTAATGTTTGTACACCTTAACTATACGAGATTCTAATTACCCCCTTATGCTTGATTTTTCGGATTTTATTACCCCCCTAACCTGCCACATGGCGGTTTTAGTTTCAACAACAGGCTGAATGCGCGTGGGGGAGTTTTTTTTTCGCCACATCAGCTTAATTTACTCCTCCCTAACGGTAATAATCCCCCCCCCCCCAACGGTAAGAACCCCTATTTATTGGGTTTGTATCATCCTCTTCTTCAACATTCTTCTCTTAATATTTCTCCAACCAAATTCCATTTCCTCCTAAGATTTTCTCTCTTATTTTCTACCCAAATTACAGCCTTTATTTCAACACTTGGAAGATAGAAGATGGATGTTTTTTGTAGATGTGGCAAGCCAGCTCATTTAAAAGTTGCTTGGACTACTGCAAATCCGGGGCGACGATTTTTTGGATGTAGTCTTTATCCGAAGAGAAATGCCTGTCGATTTTTTCAGTGGTATGATCCTCCATTTCCGGAGCAGGCAAACAATGTTATTACTGGGTTGTTGAAGAAGACTAACAAACTATCGAAGAGGGAAAGAATGTTAAAGTTTGTAATATTTATTAGTTTACTTTTGAATATGATGTTGTTCATGTACAAGTAATGGTTATTTGGTAGTATGTAATAGAGCTAAAGCAATAAAATGTGTTGTTCGACATATTAACGTAGCTGCTATTCACCAAAACAACCAATCACAATGACACCATTTTGTCAACATAATAGGTAATTAACACCTAACAATTGAGTTAACATTTGCTGTCCATATACAGCTAGACATTACATGACAAACAACTTCACAAAATAAAGTTTAGTACCCATTAGTATCCACAAAAACAGACATTCCATATTCAACTAAAAACAGCCACCCCATCAATTCAACAAAAAAGAAGTCTTGTATATCAAATTGGACATCCAAACAGTACACGAATTCAAGTGGTCTTCTTGGAGGGAGATTTTCCCATAACCTTGGATCTTGTTTGCATTCCACCGGATTGGGACCTTGTCTTGATTCTAGCCATTGCAGCTTGTTCTTGAAGTTGTCTCTGAGTCACAGCTTCCTTCCCTTTCCATTTCAAACCTTTAGAAGGCTTATATCCAATATCACCAGTAACATGGCTAGAATCAATTAAAGGGCCAGTATAAACCTTTCTGGCCGTAGGCAAACCATGCTGATAACATTCAAACCAAAAGATACATTTTTAAGTTAGAAATTAAAATGTGCCTAAAATGTAAGGACAAAATACAAATACACTTACATTAATACTTGTAAAACCAGATTGTGCAACAAATACACCATGTCCTTGAAGCCTAGGCCTCTTGTAGTGGCTTCTTGCCCCCCCAGATTTTGCTCCAGTAGATGCCTTACTTGTAGATGCATTGTCAGATTCCTTTCTGCCTCTCTTTTGTGATTTTTTTGTTGTTGATTGTTGTGAACAGTTAGCAGTCTGTTATATGACATGGTGAAAATGTGAAAATGAAAAATTAGTAAGAAGCATATGAGAAAAGGCTGCCTATGAGAAGAAAGTAAGAATAAATTAGCAAGAAGCTAAGAAGGTACCTCTTGATTGCTTGTTGGTCTTGTTGGACAACTCCTTTTATTATGAGTACTTGCTTTGCAAATGGAACATGTCATAGTCATTCCCTTCTTTGATAATTTTCCAACTCTTTTTATTTCTCCAACTTCCTTTCTTCTATTTTTTCTTGGCCTTCCAGGCATATTTTGAACTGGAGGAGGTAATACCTTGGGGTTAGTACTTTCTGGCCACATTATCATGTTGGGAACTGGTTGTATAAGTGTGAATATGCCTTCATGTAGGTCTCTTTCCTGTACCAGTGTACAATATGCTCTGAAGGATCAATTTCCTTGAAGTGCATTGATGTTATAGCATGTGGACATGGAATGCCTTTAAGTTCCCAAGACCTGCAACTGCAATAACCTGTTCTTAGATCAACAATGAACTTGCATGGACCATCTTTGAGTTCAAATCCAGTATCTCCATTAAACATGAAGTCAACCTTCATTGACCTCTCAACATTAGTATTGAACACCATCATGGCCATTGGAGATACACCATCCTGCCATGTTTCAGCAAATTCCCTCATCTTTGCTACCCTACTCATCACTTTGACCCTTATTTCCTCTAGCATTGATATGATTGTCTTGTGCCTAGCACCCAATATCCAAGCATTGAAGCTTTCACACATGTTATTGTCAACACTGTCACACTTGGAAAATGTTTGAAAGAATGCTTTGCACCATCTTTCTTTGTTGTATTTAACTAGGTCTTCACAAATGTTATGACCCAATTTATCAAGATCATCTAGCTTTCTTTTCATTTCAGACTCAAATGTTGATCTAACAACACTCCAGAATCTTTTTCTCCTTTCAATCTCTCTCCATTTTATAGCCCAGTTTGCCAGAATGTGTCTAGCACACATTCTGTGCTCACACTCAGGTAAAATTTCCTCAACAGCTGAACATAGGCCCTGCAAAAATAAAATCAGCAGTGTTTCAGCAGTTGTAAAAAATCAGCAGTGTCTAGCACACATTCACTGCAGATGGCAGTGTTTTAAAAACAGCAACAGCTGGGAAAAATCAGCAGTGTTTTAACTGCAAACAGCAGTGTTTTAAAAACAGCAGTGTATTTAATCAGCAAAAACAGAAATACAGTAGCAGTACATACCTTTTGCATGTCACTTATCATTGTGAGCTCCCTGCCATCTCCCAGGTTCAAATCACTTTGTAGTAGCCTGAGGAACCAACTCCAAGTTTGCTTTTTTTCAGTGCCTACCACAGCCCAAGCTATTGGGAACATTTGGTTATTCCCATCCTTTGCTACTGCTGCCAGCAGTTGCCCTTTACAAACACCTTTTAAAAAATATCCATCTAATCCTATACATCTCCTACAACCCTCCATAAACCCCTGTTTCATAGCAGCAAAACAAATGTAGAAACTGGCAAATTGCTTCTTCCCATCATCTGTGTCTGTCAATTTTATTGCACATGTGCTACCAGGATTTGTTTTGAGTAGCATATCCCTATAGTCCATAATCCTACCAAACTCAGCCACATGATCCCCCATTATCTCTTTCAAAACAATCTTTTTGGCCTTCAAACAAACAGCCTTACCAACATATAAACCAAGCTTTTTCCTCACCATATTCTGAAGTTCCCAACCTTTAATTCTAGGCTATGAGGTAATTCTATCTTTGAACTTCTTTGCCACATATTTTGAATTACACATATAGTTGTAAGTGGTTCTATGGCATTTGTGTCTTGGATTGTAAGTCTTGATTGTGAAGTTTGTACTCCTACCTTCCCTACTAGCATACAACAACCAAGGACAGCCTTTTTTGCATTTAACTCTAACTCTATGGGGCTCATTGGGATCCTTAACTAGCTGAATACCTTTCTTTATAGCATACTTGGTAACTGCTTCTCTAAATTCCTGCACATTCTCAAATACCATCCCTAATTGCCAAATAACAATTTTGGCAGAAGGGTCATAAACCACTCTATTTGTTTTTTTCCTTCCCCTTAAACTTCCCATATCATCTACATCATCATCAGATACAGGATGACCCTCCCCTTCCACATCTGATTCAGATTCAAAGCTATCTGGATCTGAACTATCATAGTAAGGCTCATCATCACCCCCTAGTTTGTCTCTCATGTTTTTTTTGGGCTGATCTATGTTCTCAAAACCTTCATCAACTCCAACTTCACCTAAAAATCCATCAGGTTTTTTCAGCCTAATTTTTCTCCTATTCCTTTGTCTATATTTCTTCAAATCTTCTTTAACAACCCTCAACTCTTCATGGACATCACTTCCATAATCAAATGACCTCTCAGACTCATGTCCAGATGCTATTTCTTCCTCTTCTCCAGCTGATTCTACTTGCTGAGAATCAGTAGCAGCAACAGATTCTTCTTCCTCTGAGGAGGAAGTCCAATATATAGGTGAATCCTCTTGTTGAGGAGCAGCAGCAGCAGCAGCTAGTTCTACTTGTTGACTAATGTTTGAAAGACCATGAGAAGCAGCAGTAGCAGATTCTTCTTCCTCTGAAGAGGAAGTCCAATCTAAAGGTGAATCCTCTTGTACTATGGTTTTCAAAGGAGTAGATAACCCTAGATCTGGATTTGCAGCAGTAGCATTTAAAGAAGGACCACAGGGAACATCAGATTCCCTATTGTCTTGTTGTGTGCTAGAAGATGCATTAAAAGGATCACCCACATGGCTTATTTGGCTACTAGCATCCACCTCCTCAAATTGTGAGTCACAAGAGACAAAAATGTCTATTGTGTCCCCATTGTTTAATAACATAGCAAGGTCCATTAAATCCCTATCTTTTGTTAATTCAACCAAATTGCCACACTTAGCACTCATAATAAAAGTTTTTCCTAACTTTGTAATCCCAAATTCCTTAGCATAATCAACTAATTCTGGTATTGATAAGTGGTCACAGTCGACATTAGTCACATGTTGAACCCTACCCCCAACATATAGAGGTCCCACCTCACTCACCAACATCCCACCAATTTTTCATCTTAGATTCACATACTTAGTACCCATGGGACCCTACACAGCAATAAGAAACAAGGAAAAAACACCTCATCAGACAGAACTTTGTACGATTAACTGTAGAATATTACAAATAACAGTAATCGATAAAGACCTCCAAAAGTTAACAAAACACATAAAAGAAAGTCCTCCAAAAATTAACAAACAACAACAACTCGGCATGCATGCAACAGTCAAAAACCCCTGGATTTACCCTAACAAAAAGAAGCACACATACCTTCAAAATCAAAGTGAAAACAGTCGAAGTTTTGACAAGAATCAAGATACCCAGTGGTAAAACAACACTTCCACAGTAGCTTTTAGCAGCACCTCAACGGAGACTCCTATCGACTAACAAAACCGAGCTCAAGAAGCCACAATCGTCTCTGCCATTAATGATGGGAGGGAACCCTAATTTTTCTTTGTTAGAGAGCAAATGAACCGATGGTAAAAGGGGTGTGTTCAATTAGATGAGTTAATTTTCAAGGCGGGTCGAATCTTTTATGTTGGATGCCCGTATTAATCCGACGTGTACAGCCAGATCAGCAATCTGTTAAATGTACACGGCGCGTGTATACACGGTAGAGAGGGTTACTATGTTAAGGGGGTAATAAAATCCGAAAAATCAAGCATAGGGGGGTAATTAGAATCTCATATAGTTAAGGTGTACAAACGTTAAAACATGCCAAGTTTAGGGGGGTCCGTACGTATTCTTAAGCGAGAGCCATGCATTTGGGACTTTATTTGGCATAGCGCACCTCAACATGATAAACTTGGTAAAGAATGAAATTTCCTCAAGCATTCCAAATTCTAAATATGAAAAACCACAGGAATTGATCAATATAATCAAAGTGACAAACTTAAACAATGCACGCAGGATACGAAATCGATACTGTTGAAATATGTGAATTAATGGAAATAGTACAAATTTTAATAATGGCTATTTGTATGAATCAGAACAAACAAAATCTATTCTCCACATAAATTATTGAAGAAAACAAAGGCATGGTTAACGAATATGATTCTGAATGAAACCAAAATGAAAACAAAAGCAAATGACTCTTTTATTGAATCTTCACGTCAAAAAAAAAAGAACTAATCACCAGACCAAACAAAATTGATCCATTTGATCTATTACATCAAATTGAAATCTCAAACGCCCAAATCGATTCTCAAACAAACATATGGCTCGCTCAAAAATTCCCTGGACAGATTATGAAAAATTAAACTAGAACTCATAAGAAGGGCCAGCTTGGCTCAGTTACCTTGCTTGCCGTGGAGTGTCAGGTCGTGGGTTCGAATTTTGCAGAGGTAAGGAGGCCTAGAGTATTCCCTTCCCAGACACGCACGAAGTGGGTATTGAACTGGGTCGGCCCTTTTAAACTAGAACTCATAACAATCTGCTACAGCACAAATACACCCACACCCAATGCCATCAGACCTTTAATCTGAAGCATTCACACATTTCAAACAACTAAACTAACAATGACACAATGTTATGCAGATTGTAGCCAAGCAGTCATGTGAATTGGATCTGGAATACTACTACTTTTCATTCCAAATTGAGGTTACATCGAGGGGAGTTCAAAGTGTACCTGGAGATTGGACAGAAGTAAAGTAGAAGAGAAAGTCAGTAGCAAGTGAAGCAGCAACAATATCCAGTGATAGAATTCAGCAGCTCAGAGAAGATTAAAACCGAAAGCCATTTGCAAACAACCAAACCAAACAATGTGGTAAAACACAGAATAGCTTCACCCAACACCAAATAGCACACTACTCAATCACTGCATCAATTGAAGGGTTCAAGCTGATCCAAATGAACTCGAAACCAACAGAATTGAATCCAGGAAACTACCAAGTCATTACAACCTAAATCTGGACTGAGAAATGCTAAATTAAAAGCTGAAATTTGAAAGTCACCCAATCAACTAATGGAACAGTAACATTTAGATTTTTTTTTTGTATTTTTGGTTTTGTATTTTGGTTTTGAATGTAAAAGAAAAAAAAACTTCAGATCTAAAAAATATAATGGTCAGTGTTTTTGGAGCTAAACAGGGGCTGAAGAAGAAGACCCCAACAAGGCTGCTTCTATGCCCTTTTATAGGTGCACTCAGATTTCAAATTACCCTTTAGGTCCCTATTCAATTTCCACTTTCAGTCCCTAAATTATTAACTTGTGCTTCAAGGAAAACACTCAACTTTCTGATATTGAAACTACGACCCTACTCTAGAAGGTTCTAGCATTAACCACAGTATTCTATCCTATTACCAAATACCCACAAAACCCTTCAATGCCCCTGAAATTACTAACTACAGTTAACTAAACCCAACCCATTTCTCTTTACTAAATTCTACCTAAAGTTAACTGAAGAAGATGATTTCAGCTATACCCAAACAACCTATCCTAAACATTACACCAATTATCACCAATATAGAATTAATACTGAATTAACAATTAACAACTACCCTAAACTGAAATCAACCAAATCAACCCCAAATCCGACTTCACATGAATAGAACAAGGGAAAGCCTAATTATACTAACGACCAATTAACAAATGAGCAATTAATTAACAAAGCCACAATTAAAACAGAGTTTGAATAAAAGAACAACAATGAAAATTAATCAGAACAAGAATCTGCTGAACAAACGTATAAACTTAAACTAAACTGGAAATCGCAACTAAACAAGACGACGAACTAAACTAAAAGCTGAGAAAGGAAAGGAAGGAAGCTTACTGATTTTGGTCTCCAAATCAAAAATTCCGAAAATGACTTCGAGTTAATATTACAGGTCCATTTCATAGGCAATAGACCTTTGATACTAACCCGAAGTCACTCGTCTTTTAAATAGCCTTCAAACAGCATAAAATGGCTAGAGTCTCGGATCCAAAATTCACCCAGCTCCGGTGGTATTTGACAGAAAATAGTGAGATATTAGAGATGAGGGGGGTCCAGGGATGGTGTGGTGTGAATTTGGGCCGGTTTAGGTGAGTCGACGTCTTGGCCGGAGAATCTTTGGTGGAAGATTCGACAACATCGACGTTGATTCGAGGGAAAAGAAGTAGATAGACGAGATGAGGAAGATGAGGGGAATCAGTGGTGTAAATTGGACGGCCGTTGGCGTAGATTGCGTTCATCGGCGGCGGGCTCTCCGGTGGTGTTACAGCTGATACGTACGAGGAAGATGAAGAGCTGGTCTGAGGCTATACGTATATTTGGACAATTATAAGACAATAGATGAACCACTATTGGCCATTGGATCAGCAAGATCGATGGCTCAGATCAAATTCACCTAAACGCCGTCGTTTTATTTGAGGAGAGGGCAGGCCGGGTTTGGGCGTGGGTTGGGCCGGAGCGGTTTTGGGCTAGGCTAGCTGATTGACCCGTTTGGGTCTGGCCCAATCTCCCTTTAATCTTCTTCTTCATTTTGTTTAATAAACAAATTAAACCCACTTTCTTTTGTTTTCGTTTTTATTTCTTTGTTTTTTCTGATTTTATTAAATGCAAAAATTAAAATAAAGACCTAATATTTTCAAAGTCAAGCCAGTTAATTCCTAAAATTATCTAAAAAACTAATTTATGACAAATTCGCAATTAAAATGATAAAAATGCAAAAGTGAACTATTTTTGTAATTTTTCATGTTTTGTTCCAAAACAAAATAATTCCTAATTAATCCTAAAATGGAAAATTAAATCCAAATGCAAAAAATGTATTTTTTTTTATTTTTCATATGAATTAAAATGCACAAATAAAATGCGATAATTACCAGAGAATTACACAAAATTCATAAAAATTTGTAAAAGTAAGGAAAAATTATTTTGTTTGAATTTTATGGGAATAATTCATATATAGGGCAAAATTCATGTGCTCACATAGTCTTAGAGGAACAAAGAGGCATGTTGATTGAGGAGTTTACAAAGGCTGAAATGAAGCAAGCTTTGTGGGAAATAGCATAAGATAAAGCACCTGGGCCAGATAGTTATGGAAGCCAGTTTTTTAAGGACTATTGGGAAATAGTTAAGGAGGATCTTGAAGCAGGAGTAAAGGATTCTTCAAGTCAGGGAAATTATTGAGGGCATGGAATAGCACTGTGTTGACTCTAGTCCCAAAATCTGATCATGCGGACACAGTAACAGATTATAGACCTATAGCTTGCTGCAATACTATCTATATGGTGATGTCTAAGATGTTAACAAATAGGTTGAAGAAAGTCCTGCCAGATATCATATCCCCAAATCAAAGTGCTTTTGTAGCTGGTAGAACCATTGCTCAGAATATCCTAATCTGTCAAGACCTGGTAAGACTGTATAGCAGGAAAGCCTATCATTAAATGCACTGTAGAATGGGAGTTTGTAGCTGAAATGATGCATGCACTGGAATTTCCTCAACAATTCATTAAATGCACTATGACATGCATAACCACAGTGCAATATGCAATTGCAATCAACTGGCATCTTTATGGGAACATAAAAGGGGAAAGAGGACTCAGACAAGGGGACCCAATATCTCCACTAATCTTTGTCATATGCATGGAATATTTTACAAAGATAATGAATGTAGTTGCAGAGCAGGTGGAGTTTGAGTGTCATACTAAATGCAAAAGCTTGAAGTTGAATCATATGTGCTTTGTAGATGATGTTCTATTATTCAGTAATCAGTGTTGCTACTATTGAGGGGCTTGGAAACATTCTCAGAAAGCTCAGTCCTAACTACAAATGCAAACAAGTCAAATATATTCAGTGTCAATATGCCAAGCCAGAGCTAGAAGGACTTGATGGAAATGACAGGATTTCAGAAAGGAAGTCTACCATTCAGGTATCTTGGTGTGCTTATATCAGCTAAGAGGATATCTAAAATGGACTGTGAAATACTAATAGACAGGATATCAGCTAGAATTAAAGGTTGGGGTACAAAACATCTATCTTATGCAGGAAGGGTGCATCTAGTGAATTCAGTACTACTTCATATTCATAGCTATTGGTCAACTATATTTTTGCTTCCAAATCAAGTGTTGGCATGTGACTTAATGTGTAGGACAAAGCATGAAGGAGGCTTGGGGGTAACAAACATAATAAAATAGAATGAAGCTGCTATTGCAAAATATGTATGGAATATTGCTCAAAAAGCTGACAACATATAGGTGAAATGGATCAACACTGTCTATTTAAAGGAGAAGGATTGGGGGCAGTACAAATGCCCTAATGATGCTTGCTGGTATGGGAAGAAAATGAGAATCAAGAAAATATTTGCTGCTGGATATAATCAGAACTTGTGGAGCAATGCCAATGGACAGTACACAATTAAGGAGGAATATACATGGAGAATTGGAGAAAAAGAGAACTGGACATGGAGAAAATGGGTATGGAACAGTATGAACCTACCCAAGTACAGTTTTATTTGCTGGCTCACTATGCATCAAAGACTGCTGGCAAAAATCAGACTATATCGTATGGGCATTAGTCAAGAAGATAGATGTCCAATATATGGAACAGAAGAGGAGACTATCCAACATTTGTTCTTTGAATCTGTATACTAACAGTAGTGCTTAAGGGAGGTGTTAAACTGGATGAGCATAGGTATACAAAAGACAGAGATAACAGGGATATGGAAAAGAGTGACCAGGCTACTCAAAGAAAAGAGATGCAGGGAAGTTACTACTGCTATATTGACTGCCTTGGTGTAATGGATATGAAAGGCTAGGAACACTGCTGTATGGGACTTCAAACTACCAACAATCACCTACATACTAAGTCAGATTAAACAAGAATGCAGACTGAGGAAGCTCACCTATTTGAAGAGCAAGGCAAGTGTTCATGAAAGAGAAAGGATTGAGAAGATAATGCAAAAATAGTAGATTAGATAGACAGAAAGAATAATGTTCCGATGCCAAGGAATACATAGCTAATATATATGTATATAGAAAGAAATAGGAGAAAAGAGGAAAGTATTGAGGAAAAAGCTTGAAATAGTTTCGAGGTGAAGAAATAAAAAAAATTCTTCGCCAAAAAAGTTGCATCATACGCATGGTTGAAAACTTGTTAAATTAAAATTAGATATAATAATTAAAAAAAATTAATTTAAACATACATTATTAAAGAAAAAAGAAAAAAATTAAGTGGGGGGAGGGGCAAGGCAGGTTGAAAATTGAAAAAATAACTATGCAGGGGGGGTTAAAATTTTTGTGGGTTTTGCCAAATCCGCCCTGCATCCATTGCCATCCCTATATATAAGTCAACAACCCAAGTATCACCTTCGATAGGTCAAATGACTTCATAATTCCATGTGTTCGGCTTTTTAGGAATATAACTAGCAGCATCCTTCATAGTTTTGGCCAACATCTTCTTAATAGTAGGACAAATATCACTCAAATTTCATTTTTAAGCTTTCTCTCTATTTTGAATTAATTCTAGTCATGAGCAAGCGCCTAATGGTCTCTAAATGTTTCAGAATTAGCTTGTCTCTCTCATCAAGAATAAACTTATTAAACACCTTACATAAGTTTTTTAAAAGAATATCGCACTTAGGAGCTTAAGAGAAATGTGATATTGACCATTCACTTGGCAATTTAGTAGAAATACATTTACGTGCATTTTCATCTAATTCAAATAAATCAGTCATATAAGCATCAAACCTGTCAACATTTGTTGCTGAAGCTACCTGTTGATACCCATTCTTTTATATATATTTTTAATATGCAAAATACCTTCAAAATAATGTATATGTGCATATATAAGCATATCCAAGTATTTTATTATTTTTTCATAATTTTTACAGGTTTTTAAATCAATTTATTTCCCTTTTTATCCATAAAAATCCTAATAATTATTTTCAAAATTATTATTTTTGGTGATTCATTTGTTGGACTTTTATATTTATGCTAAAATATACCTAAGATAATTTTTACATATTCTTACAAATCTATTAGTATTCTTAAGCTAAATTGCATATAATTGCAATATTAGCCATTTTATCGATTGTATTTTATACTCACAAAATTAAGTCTTATATTTTTAAATTATTAATTATATGTTATAAATCATTTTAGTGCTTTCAATTTATTTTTAAAAATTAATTTACTATTTTTATAATTTTAAAAGGGGAAAATTGGCTATTTAAATAATAGCCCAATTGCATTTCAATTGTAGCCTAAATCTGATACCAAATTAAATCCAATTTCCCGGCCTAATTTCCATTCAAACCTGAACCTTAACCCAATTAAATGACCCAACCCGAATTTCCCACCTACCCTTTTAAATCCAGACCGTTGATCATTCAAATCAACGGCCACCATTCACCCTTCCTTTTTTAACCTTAAACGACCCCTTACTCTACCTCATTCTTCACCAAACGACGCCCTTGAATCCCCCTTCTCTCTCAACTCTCTCTGAAACCTCTCATGAACCCTAGCCGCCGCCATCTAACCTCACCATAATCCACCTCAACCCCTGCCTATAGCCCCTTATGGTCATTTGAGATATGTATCAGCCTTCTATGGCTCCTGGGTGTTTCTTTCTTTGGTTTCATGGCCAGGCCTCAGGGGAATTTGGTCTGGTCCTTGATCGACTTCTGTTCATGGCCTTTCTCCGGCCATCCATGACCTTTCTTCGGCTATTCATGACCTTTCAAGGTAGATCCTTGACTTTTCTGGTTAGATCGGTAATTTTCAAGGCCTTTCTCACCTTTTCTAGGTTTTCCAAAACCCTAATCTTTAAGATCTTTCAACTTTCTTTTAGATCTGCTTTAGATCCGTACTTACTATGAATATCTTAAGGGCTTTCTCGAAAGTTCTTCAAATTTTCTTTCAAAACGACTCTTCATTAGGGTTTTCTTTTAAGTTTTTCAAAAGATCTCTTCTCCGATTTTAATGTTGTTTGTGATTTTGCTATGTTTTTCTCATGTTGTTCTTCTATCTGAGTCAGCATGTTGAAAATCCTAATTCTTTTTTGGTCTCATTCGAGTTCTGAGACTGTTTGTTTAAGTGTGTACTGGTTCGATTAAGTTCTCCGTTCTTATTTGACTTATTTGATTCCGAGTTTTACCATCTTTTAAACACGATTATTGTGAAAAATCCTAGGTCTTTTGGTCTGAAACTGCTTTTTTGAATGTATACTTGGCTTGATTAAAAGTTCATTGCTTCAGACTCTCTTTTCTTTATGTGACTTATCTGATTCTGAGTTTTACTA